AATGATGGAATTAAAGCTTTTCTCTTTGGTCTGATTGGGCTAGCTTGAGTCACATGACTACCTGGGGATTAACATTCTTCAGGGACCAGCCACAGGCTCAGCTGCTTAAACAGAGGTGCTGGAACCTGTCATCCTACTGGGACACTGTGATTGGCTTAGAGGAGACCCATCAGCCACAGCACAGGCGCCACAACTTCTTCCAGACACTCGGACCTTTCTGGGCCCCTCTCAGAGACCAGGAGCACCCAGTCCCCCTGTGGCAGCAGCAGCGGCGCTAACGCACCCCTGTCTCGTTCTTCTTGCCCCCTTACTCCTGCTTCCTGGAACCAGCACCCAATAAACCACCTGCACTCAAGTCTCAGACTGCTGTTGGGGAACCAAAACTAAGGCAAAGGCGGAATGTCACAGGTCGTGCCAATAGTCCTGCACCTTGCCTGGGTTAAAATTACACACATCTTAGATGTGTGAGCTTGGTCTGGTCACCTGTCTGTGCCCCAGTTTCCTAACCTGAAAAATGGCCATAATAATGGCACTTCGTTTGTAGGGTTGTTGGAAGAATGAAAAGAAATGATGTAGGTGAAGTCCTTAGAACAATGCCCAACACGTTTTGAGCGCTCAATAAATATGAGTGGTTTGGTTACATTCAGGGATGTCCAACCATTTGGTGTCTCTGTGCCACACTGGAAGAAGAGTTGTCTTGGGTCACACATTAAATACATTGTGACACATAGTCACACAAAAAAAAAAAAATCTCATAATGTTTTAAGTAAATTTACGGTTTTCTGTTGGGCTGCATTCACAGCCATCCTGGGCCGCAGGTTGGACACCCCTTTATGAATACATCTTCCATGCCTGCACTTCTAGACTAGTCTCAATGGATTAGCCAAGACTCGCTTGTTTGCAAGCGAAGAAAGCCGATGTAAATTAGTTTAATGGAAATGGGAACACCCAGCTACTCCCTTTACTGGGGGGCGAAGCGGGGCCTCGGGGCTGGGGTGGCTGTGGGGTGAAGCTGGGGTGGCTGCTCCATGGTCACCAAGGGCATGGGCCCTTTCGGTCTGTATACTATATCATTTTAGAGTAGGGCTTTCTTTCTCAGGGTCACCTTCTGGTCCAAGATTGCGGCTGAAGTGCCAGCCTGGAAGGAGGTGGAGAAAGGGAAAGGCAAAAGGTTATGGCCTCCTCCTCTTTAGGCTGTTGTCTCTTAAGTTTCATATAACACTTTCTCTTTCAAGTCATTGGCCAGAATTTGGTCACATAGCCCCTCCTGGCTGCAAGGGCAGCTGGGATATGTAGTCTTCATTCAATGAAGCCATATGCTCAGCTAAAGTTGGAGTTGTCTTACTAAGGAAGGAGAGAATGGAGACGGATAGGTAGCTATTAGTCTAAGCCACAGCTGTCAAGTTACAAGTTTTATGTCTCAGAGAAAGGGAGACAGAAAATTTCCGAGTTCTAGTCAGATGACCACATCTGAACCAATCAGCCATTAGGGAAACCAGTGGCCATTAGGGAAACTTTTTTTAAAAAAGCATAAGCCACCATAGTTGCTTATCACTTAAATATAGGTTGTTTATTTAAAAATGATTACTGGTCATCTGCTCTTGGCTGGGCCACTGTGCTACACCCAGGGGACTTAATGATGAGCAAAAAGACTCTTCAGTTTCTGCCTCATGAAACTCACAGTCTAGTGGGGGAGACAGAGGTGACCAGATAATCCTACTGACTAATGGAAAAGTGTACGTTGATGGTAAGTGCTGAGAACAAGCAGCATGTGGTTCCTGAGGAAGTGAGCACCCAGCTGGGAGATGAAGGATGAAGAGACATTACCTAGTGAAGGGTGGCGATGCTGGCAATGCAGATGGAGTATGTTACTAAGGGAGACAACAGCTTATGAAGGGCCCTGTGGCAGGAGGGAGCAACATTGCTGAAAAGTGGCAGCAGGAGCTCAGAGAGCAAAGGGCACTGGTTGAAGATGCAGCTGGACCAGTGGAAGGAGCCAGACCGGGTAGGGCTTCAAAAGCTGCCCTAAGCAAGTTCCATTTTTCCCACACACAGTGGGAGGTCGTGGAAGTGTTTTAAGCAGAGAATAGGGCTAAGAGTGACATGATAAGATCTACACTTTAAACAAGATTCCTGTGGCTGCTGTGGAGAGAAGATGGAAGGTGTGGGAGCCAAAATGGACCCAGGGAGACCAAGGGGAAGGCTGGTCCATTTGTCCAGGTAAGAGATGATGGCAGCTATGGACTAGGCTGGAGACTGAGAAGATAGGAAAAATCAACAGAACTGGGTGATGGATTGGATGGGAGGGTGGGCGAGGTAGAGCAGGGAGAGGTGACTTCTGGGTTCTGTGGCTGAAAGATGAGGTGGGTGCTGGTGCCATTCATGGAGGTGGAAATCCCTGGAGAAGACCAAGTCGTGTCTTCAGACTTGGCCTGGTCTGTGGTGCTTCTGGGACATTCTTGTGGAGGTGGCCTGCTGGCAGATAGGGATTTGCAGCTCAGAGAGGAGGTTGGACTTGAAAATGTAAATTTGTGAGTCATCTGCATGTGGTTGGAAATGGAAGCCATGGGCGGAATGAGATGGCTTCACCAGAGTGTACAATGGGAAGGGGAGAGCGTCTAGGAGAGAGAACCTTGAGGAACACAGACTAGAACACAAGGAGGAACAGGAAGTGGGTGCCGTCCTTGGGTACAGGCGAGGTGGAGCAGCCAGACAGGTGAGAGGAGAACCAGAGGGTTGCATGACGGAGATCTTCCTCTGTGAGGAGTGGGAAAAGCAAAGTGGATTGATGCGCCCGTTGAGATGCCCTGGGCTGCCGGCAACAGCAACCGGAGTCAACGGACTTAAACAATAAAAACACTTGTGTCACAGACCGTGAAGTACAGAGGCAGCACACGGAGTGGCTTTTCCCCATGACTCCTGGATGCCGTCAGGGGCGTGCACTTTCCCCACCTCTTTGCTCTGCCATCCAGCTCGTGAGTTCGTGCTACCAGCCCCGACTGTGGTTCCCTTCGTGGCCACAAGATAACACGCTTCTCTGTTCATGTTCATGGAGGAAAAGAGACCCCATTCTCTTCCTTTCTCTTAATAGATGGGAAGAAGCAAAATTTCCCATAAGCTTCCAGTGAACCTCTCAAGTCTAATTGGCCAGAATAGAGACATATCCCCATTTCTCAACGTGTAGGGGATGAGATTACTCTTGGACCAATTAAGACCACCCCTAAAGCTGATGTCCCCAAATTGCATGGCTCCCAATCAAGGAGGGAAGGATGGGATGGACGACAGACAGGTAACTGGGTTGGATATTGTCAGTGGGCACCCAACATCCATTCCCATCTCCCTCTAGGGTGCCTTCTGCATTGTGTGTTAGAGAGTTAAAAGCTACATTTCTCAGACCTCCTTGCAGCAAGGATACTGACAGTGAATTAGGTCCTGTCAGTTAGAGGCGCTTCTGTGGGATTTGGATGGCAGAAGTGGGCAGGGGCCATTTTCTTATTGCCTTGTCTTCTCCTACCGGCAGGATGGTTGTGGAGGTGCTAAGTTTTCCTGCGACATTGTTCCAGTGTGAGCCACCAGGGTAGTAGGAGACAGGGGATAGTTACAGAGGCCGTGGCAGGGACCTCTTGATCCCTAGGTCACACCTACTGTGCTGTGTTCTGGAACTCAGTAGTGCAGCCTCCTGACTGCCCCCGTGTGGTTGTGGAAGAAGCAGCAGCTCCCTTCGTGGGCCAGTTCTGGGCGATGACCTGGGATCCCGCTGAGGGTCTTCAGCCCTTGCAACGATTTTTCCAGCAGCCAATTCCCTGTGTTAACTACTTTCCACTTCAATGAGATTTAATACAGGATTAGATGTGTATAAAATGCTGATATAGAGTGGGTTTTGTTCCAACCTGCACCTGAAACAAATGCAATTGATGCAACAGCTGCCCAGATGCAGTGCGTCATAGCCACAGAAGAGTGTGTGCATGGCTAGGGAAGGCAACGGGTGCCTCGCCCCCTCAAAATCCCACTGGAGACTTTCTGGGGGTTCTCACACTGCCGTTGTTGATGGAGACACCTAGAGCACAGCTCAGGATGCAGCTGCCTGTCCAGAGGTGTGTGGAGGGAAGGGTGGGCAGACACCTGGGGCTAAGGGTGGACAGGATGAGGGTCTCGACATTTAGTGCACTGCCTACAAAAGGCAGCTCCAGGGGAGATGGGGTTCCTACTTCCAGCCCTAGTCCCACAGCCTGGCAGAGGCCCCGCCTCTCAATGAATCTGTGTTGAGGGCTGGAATTAAATGGCGTGGTGTTGGTGGTCCCCAGTTTTGAGTAAGGCAAGGACAGATTTGCCTTTTAAAAGAGCACCAAGGCTGCTAGCACAGAAGGTGGCTTGGTCGTGCATTGTCTTCCTGAACAGGTAATGACAGGTAGCCCATGAACTCTAGCGGCAGTTCACTGTGGTTGGATAACTTTCAGCCAAAGTCAGTTTTTTTGCAATGCATGCATGTGCTGCTGTGTGACCAGTAGGACTGGCCAGAAACCTGGCCAGAGCAGTAAGCCTTGTGCTGGGGGAGCATACAGGGCTTGTAAGCAGGCTGTCAAGGGACAAGTCTGGCTCTTTGTTTTGGAGGTGTAATTAGAATTGCAGTTCTTCAGGCTGAGACACATTCTTTCCTGCCCGTCACAGGCTCCGCCATTCCCCAGTGTATTAGGGCCACCTGCTTTATTCACTTATGTTATTAATCCAGTTCTTGAACTCTTTGAGTTTGCGATCCCAGTATTTGAGGACTGTTTAGCACTGGAGGTGCCTGGGATCTTGTGGATGGCATGGGGCCCCTGGGTGTGTGCGACCCCTGCTGGCAGCTACAGGCTGCTCAGGCTACGGGGAGGGAAATGGAGTGGAAAAAAATTCCGCTTCCCTTCAGAAGCACTGCCCTGGCCCCACCCCCGCCCCCGCCCCCGCCCCCGCCCCCATCACAAGGTCTAGAGGCATTGAATGAGTGGCCAAAGTCCCTTTAATATCCCTGAATTGCGTTACAAGTAATACTGCTGGAGGTGAGGAAGGAATGGGGCGTCTGGGTCAGGAGACGGGGAGGAGGAGGGAGGGGGAGCGCCAAGCGCTCATACAAAATATGGCCAAAAGGCTAGCATGCATGGAAAATTATTGCTGTCGGAAGTTCCTATTTACAGGGTCAACACCCTCCGTAATTGCTTCTGCGACGCCTTTTCCTCCCCCCCATCCCTGCTGCCTTCTCTCCGGGTGGGCCTGGAGCCGGGAAGCCCTAGAGAAGGGGCCCTGCGGCAGGGCCCCCTCCAGTCTCCACCCTCCTTTGTGGATAGGGGCAGAGGGGGAGGGTCGGAGGCTCCAGGACTCCTGTCCCGGGGTGGGCGCCTAGCGATGGGGCAGAGGCGTGTGCTTAAAGCCGAGAGGGCCGGCCCCGTAAGCGCGGAGGTGTGTGCTTCGGTCCTCGCCCGGGCATGCCAAAGCGCGGCTGGGGAGGTAGTGGCGGCCGACGGGGGGCGACTGGCAGCCCCGGCCCCTCTGCCCAGGAGAGTTGCATAGACGTGGCCGGGAGGGAGCGCTCCTCCCGGGGAGCGAAGCGGGAGGGAGGCCCCAGCGGGGTCCGGGGCTCAGTCGGTCCCTGGAACCTGGGGTCCCTCGACAAGAGGAATACATAGGAAACAAAAGAGGAGGCTCCTCTCTCCGGTCTCCCTGGAGCGGGAGTGGAAGGCTCAGGAGGGAGGGGACCTGCCCCATGCCTGGACCTCCTGACACCTCCCCCTCCCCCCAGCTGAGGGTCAGCAGGCCAGCCTCCCATTTTTGTGCCTCCTTCCGCAGTGAGTTCAGGCTCTCATGAGGGTGGGGCTGCACCCTCACTCCCCAAGACGGGGTGGGGTGGGGTGGACAGCCCTCTATGGCCTTCGCTGTCCCTCTCCCTGTCTGGCTCCCTGACCTCCCAGTCCAGCTGGGGAAGCCAGACCGTCCCTGGGTGAGGACAAGAGATTAAATAGAATAATAAATAGATAAATAAATAAATACACAAATAAATAACGGGGGAGGCCCAGACAGACAGGGGAAGGGCATTTGTGAGGTGCCCCAGACCTCCCTGCAACAAATAAGGGGGGGGGGTACCTGCAGTCCTAGGGGTGGGAAAGTGCTCAGAGAATCGGGATCGGGCAGCGTGAGTCTGGAAGCCCAGGGAGAGGCTGTCCTGGGGTGAAAGAGGGGCTACTTTAGGGGGTGGGGCCTGAACTGCCCCTCCAGTCTGCCCCAGGTCAGGAGAACTCTGAGGGGTGAGAGATGCTAGAGGGATGCGGGGTCTGGAGGGAGCAGGGGATGGTTGGGAAGGACCCCCGGGATTGAAGAGGGTGGGTGGGTGGCGGCTGTGTCTGAACGTTTGGCCCAAGGCCCGGGTGTGGAGGGGATGAGGGCTGACACGGAAGAGACTCAGCAAAGAGGCCCGAGGGATGGCCGGGCGTTGGAATGTGGCTTAAAGGCTGCAGGCCCTGCATCCGAGTGTGGATGGAAGACGAAGGCAGGCGGCAGGCGTGACAGTCAAGGGTAGGTTTGGGCCTTAGGCTGGGGCCTCCCATAGAAGAGTGGTCACAGCGACTCAGCTGAGAAGTGAGAGGAAAGGTCTGAACGTTAGAAGGGGAAAGCTGCAGAGTCTGGGTGGGAGAAAATTCCGGCTCCGAGCCCCGGGAGGGGCACGGACCTGGTGCCTGAGTTGGGAGCCTTGAGGGGGCGGACAGGGGGATCAAGGTCCGAGTGTTGGGAGCCGGAAAGGACATTCGGGTCAGGATGCGCTGGGGAAGACAGTGCCGGGAGAGTTATGGGTCTAGGACAGGAGAGAAAAGTTCGGGGCGGGGAGGGGGTACCCCACGAGGGTAGTGGGCAGGGAAACGCAGCTGGGGGTTGGAGACGGCACAGGTAGGGGGCCCGGGCGCGTGGAGAGCGAGTTCCGGGCGCAGGGGTGATGCGGGAGGCTCAGCTGGCGGGGCCGGCTGGGGGCGGCGGGGGCGGCTCGGCTCCCTTGACGCAGGCGGCCTCGCAGTGCTTGTGGAGGTAGGACTTGAGCGCGAAGCTCTTGTCGCACTGGCGACAGCGGTAGTGTTTGAAGGCCGAGTGCGTCTGCATGTGCGCGCGCAGGTTGGAGCGGTCGGCGAAGGCCTTGCCGCAGTGCGCGCAGCCGAAGGGCTTCTCCCCCGTGTGCGAGCGCATGTGGCCCTGCAGTAGCCAGGGCCGCGAGAAGGCCTTGCCGCACACGCCGCACTTGTGGCGCAGGTTGTGTGTGAGCACGTGCATGGCCAGCGCGGGCATGGACACGTATGCCTTGCCACACGTCGGGCACTTACGCGCCTGCTGGCTGTCCAGGCTGCGGTGCGTCTGCTTGTGGCGGCTCAGGTTCGAGGACGTGGCGTACGTCTTGCCGCACTCGGCGCACGCGTGCCGGTGCCCACCGCCCGCCGGCGCCCCCGCACGCCCCGCGCGCCCCGCGGCTGTCGGGGCATCCCCCGCACCCCCTGCGTCCCCGCCGCCCCCGCCCCGCCGCCGCCGCGAGCGCCCGTCCGAGATGAAGAAGGCGTCCATGGAGTAGCTGTCGGTCACGGCCGCCTCCCCGCGAAAGTAGCGCGCCGACAGGCTGGACTGCGGGCTTTCGGGGTCGCTGTACTCTTCCGGCGCCGCCGGCGGGTACGGAGGCTCGGCGGGTGCCAGCTCCAGGCCCGGCTTCTGGTCCACATCGTAGCTGCTGGGAGGAAGGCAGTGCGGGGCATAACCTGGAGGGGCGAGAAGGGAGCGCGAGGAAGGTGAGGTGCGGAAGGCGGCTTTCCCCTTGGGGCAGATCGGTCCTCAGGCCCTCCACCTGTTGGAAGATGATGGCTGCTGGTAAGGTAGTGGCTGCTGTCAGGCGTCCTTGCTCTTGGTGTCAGGCTGGATGGGTTCAAATCCTTTTTGCATGGACTGCAGTAAAAGTAATCCCCACCCTACCTCCTGGAGCACAGTGTCCTCGCCCGTTCTACTGGCTTTGTTTTCACTAGCTTCTTAAGTGCTTACAGCCAAACAGTGAAGGTCGTATTTTTATAATTACATCCACCTTCCATATAGAAAAATTGAGGCACATCAAGTCTAACCTCACCACTAGTAAATGATGGAGCCAGGGTTCAAACCTTGGCGGCCTGATGCCAAAGTTCATGCTTTCTCTATTCTGACATCATTCTGCCATTCCAGGTCTGTAATTCCTCCGAATCCCAGTTTCCTCATCTACAAAATAGAGCTTATAACCGGACACTCCATCCCAGGGTTTTGGAAATACTTAGTAAAGTGATGAGTAGAACCATGTATTAAGCTTTTACTGTGCGCCGGGTTCTGCCTCAACGCTTTACCCATGTTAACTCATTTAATCGTCTCAGAACCTACCAAGTAGGTACTATTATAATCCCTATTTTACATGTAAAGAAATTGAGAAAGAGAGAAAGGGAGCACACAGTAATTGCTATATAAATATTAGCTATTATAATTGTGCATTTTACTTGCTTGAAAGAGTGATTTCACTGAAGATTATTTAATTGTCTGCCTCCCTCACCAGACTGAGCTAACCAGGGATGGATTTGTGTGCCCAGCCTGTGCCTGGCTCAAAAGAGGTATGTGATGAGTAGATGCTGCATGAATGAATCACATACCTGTTAGACAAGAGCTGCCGCCCCCCCCCCCCGCCCCACCCCGCCTGGATTGCTGGAGGATTTGAGGTCAAGTGTGTGGCATGTAATAGGTGCTGGAGGAAGGGGACTTCCTTGTATTGTGCTTACTCTGGAACCTGCTCTGCTCCCTGCTCCACTAGATGCCTTCTGATGTCTCCCTGTGAGAGTTCACCTTCTCCTCCTCCTCCTCCTCCCTCCTCTCTAGAATTGGATCAGAAATTCTGTCCATGTAGGGTTTGAGTGACTGGTGAGTGGGCAGGTTGGGGCTCTCCCAGCAGTTTCCCCAGGGCAGGGGACACCCCAATTTGTCTCTGCCCCACCCCAGGGCCTAGCATGGCCTTAGCACTTTCCCTGAGGACTCTGGGACTGGGGCTCTCAGGGGAGTTTCTGGCATACATACACAAACTTAGCAACCTAATACTAAATTAACGAATGTTTCCATTGTCCTCTAATTCCAGAGAGCAGTAGAGTTTAGGCCTCCTTTCCCTCTCATCTGGCAGTTAGGGCGGTCACAAGGTGAAATCTGTGCAGACTCTCTGCCAACCCTGAAGACAGGATGTATCCTTGTTTTTACCTCTATCCTTTCAGCTGCTTGCGTAGGACCCTCTGCACACAGATGTGACTGGGGATTGTCTGGGCAGAGGACGCAGTAGGGAGGGGCTCTGTGGTCAGATGCAGACAGGGCAGTGGCGGTAGCCGTTTTTTAACTGGGGGTTTGCACAGTCTCTCAGCACCCCGTTCCTCCCCTCTCACATGCCTTCAGTCTGGAGATTCTTCCACTCCCCCACTCCAGGAATCAGGCCTAGTACTCAGGTCCCCAGAAGTTCAGGGAATATTGTTTCAGACTGAGTTAAATGCCTGGTGGGCACTCCCAGACCCTCTCCTTCTCCTTCAGTATTTCTTCCCATTGTAATTACTGATGGTAATACTAATAGCTAATATTTGTTAAGCACTTATTATGTGCCAGGCTCTGGGCTAAGTGCTTCACTTCCATCACCTACCTCATTGAATTATCACAAAAATTCTTGTATTTCAGGTAAGGAAACTGAGGTGCAGAGTGGTGATGGTACTTGCTCAAGAGATGGAGCAAGAAGTAGAACTCACTGCATTGGTCCCCAGTGGGAGGCCGCTGAGGAAGGGGCTGCGGCTAGGTTGTTCACTACCTATAACCAGCGGCCAGGCTAGTGGGCATTCAATGTTTGTGGAATGGGTGGTAAAGATTTGCCAGGCCAGCCCAACAGGGTTTGCTACAGGCTAGTCTGTCTGCCTGGTTTGGGGGTGACTTGATTCTCTACAGATTCTAGCTGGGTGTCCTTGAGCAAGTCATGCATCTTTCTGTGCCTCAGGTCCTTTCACTGGATATGGGAATAGAGTACAACCTATTTGTAGGCGGTCGCTGATTATATGACCAGTGCCTTGCATGTTCTTTTTGTGAAGCAAGGATGGCATACTGGTTAAGTGTCCACTGTAGTGCCAGGCTGCCAGGGTTGAGTTCCAGCTTTACTATTCCCAGCTGGGTGATCTTGGACAAACTACCTGACTTCTCTTTGCCTCATCTTTCCTAGCTGGAAAATGAGGGATAATAAAAGCATCTAATTCATACAGTTGTGGTAAGGAGTCCACCAGTAAACAACAATTGAAAAGTAAATAATAACCAATACTGTACTTATGTGTCAGACACTGTTTTAAGGGCCTTACACGCATGAATGCATTTTACCCGCATGACTCTAAGGTTGCTACCATATTACAGATGAGGAAACTGAGGTACAAGGTAGTTAAGTAACATGCCCAGGGTCGCACAGCCAGTAACTTAGAGTCAGGATTCCAGCTCAGTGCCTGGCACATTGCAAACCCACAATACATGTTGGCCATTATTATTAAGTAAGAATAACAGTCTCCCCAGAGGGGTTTCTGTGCTGCAGTTTTCTTGGCGCCTGCCTGGATATATTTTGCTGCTCTTCTCTGTTTCCTCACCCAGGATATGTTATTTCTACTTCATGTTCTGGTGAGAAAACTTCTGGCAGGTAATAGGAATTCAGTGAACCAGGCAGTCCTCACCCAAGCTGGGCTCTCTGCTTGCAGCGCCCTCTGGTGGTGGCCTACAGCACTGCAGCACCTTACTCCTGTCTATGGGAGGTTCTTTATATAGAAATAGAGGTACCTTCAAGAAAGGTTGCTCCTCTGCCTAAGGACAGATGTGGAATTGCCTTTGGGACAGGAATTTGTGATGCCACACCTGATGCCCAGAAGCTGTGGAGTTTGGCCTGGGCTGTGGGGATGGAGTGGGGCCGTTAGAAGGATGTGGTCTAACTTGCTTTGTGATCTTGGCCAGGTTGTTTAACCTCTCTGGACTTGGTCTGTAAGGATGAAGGTTGACTGGGGTGCTTTAAAGACCCCCTCTGCATTGTGCTGAGTGGATTCTTCCGTGATGCCCATTGTCCTGTCCCTCAGCCCCCATCAAGCCCACTTCATTCTTCTCAGCTCCACAGACTGCTCCTTAGCTCTGTGACCTTTGGCAAGTTATTTAACCTTTTCATGTCAAATGTGTGTAAGGAAGCTCATAATAAGATTGAATGAATTAATGCATGTAAAGTCCTTAGTACAATGCCTGGCACACAATAGCCTCTCAAGCTGTTATTACTAACATTATTATTATCCCTTTATTTCCTGGTGATAGCCTTCCAATATGCCAGAGAGGAGGAGACACGTAAGTGTCTCAGGCACAAGGTAGTTAAGTAACATGCCCAGAGTCTCTCTGTGGCCTTGCACAAAGCGCCTTACCTGTCTGGGCCTCACCTCTGGAGATTTCTTTAGGACGCTATGAGCCATGCTCTAACTCTGCGTGTGGAGCCCAGGTGGGTTTTGGGTGCCTTCCTCTGCCCCACAGGTGACTATGGAAGGCTGAGCTGGCTGTCTGTCAGCTGACAGGGTGAGATGGGCTCTATTGTTTGGTTCCGCACAGAGGCAGGGAGGCCCAGAGACCCAGAGAGAAGAGGCCTGGCTTCCATCCTGGCCCTTGTACTCAAACCCTAGATCTGTGATCTCAGGCAAGTCATGAAGCCGCTCTGGGCTCCAACTCCCCCGTTGCAGGGTAGGAACCAGAGCCATCCCTGCCATGTGGGGTGATGGGGAAGGCTCAGAAACACTTGGGTGATATGGAGGAAAACCTGAGAATGACTTCTGGTTTTCCCTAAGAGTCTTGATAGTTCAGATTGGAGGTCCAGAATCCATTTTTTAAAAATCCTGCACCCAAAGGAGTGGTAGGAAGGGGATTTTATGAGAAGCAAAGTGCTGGACCCTCTCAGACACCGTCTCGTCCAGCACTCTGACCCATGGGGGTGAGCGTGGGGGGGTTTTTGGTCACTGCCACTGGGACCGCTATGGCTCCAGCTCCCTCTGAGCCCCTCCTGGGCTCCAGGGCCGAGCACTGCACTAACAAGCCCAGAGGCCCAGTGAGGGGAGAGGAGGTGTTAGGGCTGAAACCCTCCAAAACCTGTGTTTTTTTTTTCCTGAAACACCTGAGCAGGCATGGAGACCGGCTGGGGGAGGAGAGGTTTTCTAATCAGTGGGGTGGTGAATTTCTTCAAATAATATCCACCAGTTGGCCTGTGTCTGAAGGGATGATGGCGTGTTTGGGGTGGGGAGAAGCTCTCGTTCTAGAAAATGCTGCAGCCCCTTGTGAATTTTTATAAATAATTAATAAAAGTGGTGGCTGACACTTACTGAGCACTTACTGTATACAGGGTCCCTTGTTCAGTCTTTAGTTTGTGTCATAGGGAGCATGATGGTCGCTTCCCCTGGTGGCCTAGTTCTGCAGACACCGAGGCCCAGAGAGGGACCTTGGTCCTCAGGTCACAAAGCGGACTGAAGTCAGAGCTCCTGCCTCCCAGTCCAGGGCTGCTTTTGTCAGTCTCTCCCAGGTTCCCAGGGTCCCAAACCTCCTCCAGGGCACTTCCAGCCCGAACCCCACTTGCCTGTCTCGAGATGGGCAGAAAAAGAGAGGGCTGGGTGGTGGGCCCGCTTCCCAGGTGGCCCAGTTTCTTGAGGAGGGCCCAGCCCTGCTTGGTGGTGGGGGCTGG